TCCTTCTTGAACTGGAGAAATACAGACCTCATCCTGATAACAGGCAACAACATAAAGATATGGAAATGTGGTGAAACTTTTCTTTTTCTGCATTAAATTCCTGGGAAAGGAACAGGTTTTAAGTGATGCCAGGGAAATGTAATTGCACTGTCAGAGCACAGGAGGGTAAAATAATAGATTGAAACCCAGCAAGTTCTGTACATCTTCATCAGTGGAATGGAAGCGTGATTCAGAGCCAAGAAAAAAAGACACTTCATCAGATTCTCATTTTAGAAGAGTTGGTTTTTCTTCTTTCAAATGCTCATCCATAAAGCAGGAACTAAATCATGGATTACAGGGGTGGGTAAAATAAGGGACTTCATTCTTAGAGATTTTAATGTCATTCCTCCCACTGCTTCTCCCCTCGCTGCTCCAGGGCTGACGGGGGCTGTGCTTCTGTCACCTCGGGGTGGTGACAGCCCTGGCAGCTCCCAGCACGTGCAGGGGCCGAGTTTTCCATGGGAAAAGCTGAGTCCCCTTGTCCTGGGGCCCTCGTTGAGAATGGAGCCCCTCCCAGTCACCTGAAGCACCTCCCAGTGCCAGGGGTGGCCCAGGAGATGTTTGGCTCTTCTGCAACAGGCAGGAGGATGCAGAGTCAGTTTTTGGGACAAAATATTCCTAAGCTTTAATGGAAGAAAGGACCAGTGGATGCTTGGCTTATCCAAACAGATTTCAGCCATCCAGAGTGGCAGCCTTGGGAATGTTTTCTAGCTTGGCTTGCTTTGCTTGCTTCCTACCCTAGTTCTGGATTTTAAACCCCTCTTTACTTGGCCCAGCTTATAAAGAGGCGTATCCAAGCTGTTGGAATTAAAGCAACCAACATCCAGCCCTGCCTGTGCATGTTTCCAACAGGTGAAACCTCTGGATAACCGGGATGGAATCTCTCAAATGAACTGGATTACACCCAGAAATTCAGCTTGGCTCACCGGTGAGCAGGGACAGGAGCTGGGGGTGCTCCTCCCTCCCACTCTCCTGCTCACCCTGGACCTGGGGTCTGTGATCACTCTCCCAGGTGCTGACAGTGACTGGGGGATATGGGAGTGCCCATCAAGCAGGAAGAAGAATTATTTTGTGAACTCTAATTCCCTATCACCTCCCACAGCATGAGGACCACAGTCCTAACAAAGCCAAGCCTTCCTAATTTAAATCTTTTAATTATGTTGACATTGCTTCTGATCAGAAATTCCTCCTCAGTGGTGCACTCGTGAAGGGGCCAGGCTCCCATGGGTGGCACTGGAGGTGACACCTCCCAGGTGTCACTGGTGAGCAGGATCTGGCTCTCTACGGCAAACAGCACCACCATCATGGAATATCCTGAGTTGGAAGGGACCCACAAGAACCTCAAGTCCAGCTCCTGGCGCTGCACAGGACAAAGCCACTGCACCTGTCCTGCCTGGAACTCCCCAGCTGTGGTTTCCTCATGTCTGCCGTGAAGGAATGGCTTTGCCTCTGACAGGTGAGCAGTGTTCCTTCAGCAGCATTGGCTGGAATTCACTTCCCTACAGCCTCCAAATGATTTAAGCATTGGTGAGGCTGTTGTTCCTTCTGCTGGCTTTTCCAGGAGCACGGGATCAGGGTCACTGCTAAAGCCAGTGGCTGAAGCCAAGGTCAGTGGTGATCAGGGCTGTAGGAGCAGGAACCCAAATCCTTCCCACCAGAGCTTGATCCTCATATGAAGAACCTTCCCAGAGAGTCCTCAGCAAGCCCAGGACAAGCAGTGCTCAGGCTGAGTGGATTTCACTCCCTCCTGAATTAAACCAAAGCCTCTCTCGGGCTGAAATCACCATGTCCCTCTTGAAGCCTTCCCTGCACGTCAATCCCCTTAATTGCACACAGTTCTTTGTGGCCAAGCCAACAGAGTTGCTCATGAATTCCTAATAATTTCCTAATCCATGAAAAGCCCCTGTCCCACTGCTGGGAGCTGTTTGCCCATCGCTGGAAGTCTGGGATCATGTGTGCTCTGCCACGGTGGCACCCATGTCACGAACAGCCAGGGTTGCCATGGCAATCTCCTGTTCCTCCAGAACTGCAGGGCTGAAAAGACACTTCAATCCTCCTGGAACTGGCAAGAGCAGAAGTTTAGAGCTTTTTCTGACAGCTCTGCTGCAGTCTGAGTATTTTTTAAAGTATGTTAATTAGCACTTAAATAAGGTTTTTTTTCCTTAAAGTATGGGATGTGGGGTTTTTATTTTTATGTCTTTGATTCTTCTGCTTTCTCCCCCCTCAGCTTTTGCCATCAGGTTCCAATCAGAATTTTACTGCTCTATTTTTACCTCCTGTCTGTAAAAGCAGCAAAAAGCCCTATTTTTCCCCTCTTGTGTAGAAGGGAAAAAAAAAAAAAGAAAAAAAAAAAAGAGATAAATGGATGTTACATAAATGGAGTCAGGGAGGGAGGTAGAAGACATTCAGTGCTGCTGGATGGGAAGGCTGTGGGGAATGAAATAGCTTGGCCTGATCCATCCTGCATTGCCAGGAGCCACTGATTAAAAAAGGGATCTCTTCTCAATGCCTGGGGATGGAGGAAGGCAGCTCTAGGAAGAGCAAGGAGATCTCTGGCAAGACATGACCCTGATTCATAATGGAAAAGTGAGGTTCCCTACAGAAAAAATCACACCCCAAAGCCCCAAAAATCCTGTACCCAGTAAAATCAGTGGGGAGTTGTGCAATGAACTCTACTGACACCAGGCTATGGCTTTTACCAATATATTCATTATAGGTTTGGCTTTACAAATGGAACTGCGAGGGGAAGGGTTGGGCTGGAGAATGGCTGTATTTACAAGGGTTTATGGGGCATGCAGGAGGCAATTCTGGAGCCTTCCAGAAAGCTTCAAGGAATGCAGACAACCATTGTCCATGAGGTGCTGCTGGGCCTGGAGTCTGCTGGGGGTTTGTGGCACATGGGTGAGGAAATGTGGGGAAATGCCTGGTTTGGGGTTGTGGGTTTGGGCTCAGTGGAGGCACTGCTCTGCCCCGTGCTCCCCCATCCCTCCCCTCCACCTCCATTTGCCCATGCTCACTCCAGCACAATCCCAGGGAGAAAATGAGTATTCCTCGGTGGCAAGGAACATTTAGACTTTTTTCCCAGAGCTGCCACCTTTCCACAGACCCCTGAGACCTAAAAGTGGGGATGAGTTTCCTCAAAATGATCTCCAAGCTCATTATCTACAATGCCCAGCACAGAAAATGTGTCTGGGCTCCCCAGTTCTGAGAATCCCACACCAGAATATCCCACAGATATTCTGCTGCTGCCCTGTACAAATGGAAATTTCTCCATCTTCTGGGAGACAAAATTGGGTTTTTTTAATGGAATATTCTGCAGTTCACCTCTATTGGTTACAGCAGAACAGAAAAGCAGTAGTTATGTGTTTAGGAAAGGCAGAAAAAACCAACTCAGGTGCTGTGGAAAAGGTGTTGTCTTTGGGATGGAGGGGACACCAGGAAAATGGCAGGAAAAGGTGGATGTGGGAGACTGAGACACCTAAAAGTGACTTGAGTTCAAAGGGGTGGTGGGAGACAGGACAACGAGCAGCAGATTTTTAATTAGGCTGCTAAAATACAGATAAATGGCACTCAGACTGGTAGAAAAGAAAGAGCTGGAATGAGTGTTGGGTATGGATCCAGTGTAAGTCAGTGGCTGCAGGGTGGGATGAGGGAGGCTGGGCTGTGCAACCCCTGGGGGAGCCGTCCTGCCCCTCCTGTGGCACAGGGAACAGTCACCTCCACTTCCAGGAACAACATCTCAGGGTTCCTGGGTGTGCTTGGAGCTCTCCCAGCACAGCCACCCCACTCCAGCACCGGAGTGCCTCCATGGAACTCCCTTGGAGCACTCTATGATCACCAGCTGGGATCTGCCAGGAGGGCAGGAGATCACCTCTGTCCTGGTGTGACACCCAGGGGCACAGTTCATCCAAAGGGAAATGCACAGATTTGTGTCAAGTTTCAAAGGAAAAACACCTTCCCAAGGCATCCTGGCTCCTTGCACTTCCCGTGTGGTGTCCCTGCTCTGCACCATTCCATCTTCTCCTTGCTGCTCCCTAAAATGTATTCCAGGAAAACCACCCAAGGCTGCCCAGATCTCAAGTCTGACACACTCCAAACACACCGGGGTGGGCTCAGGTTGGGTTCCTTCTTCTCCTGCTGAGCTCAGCTTTTCCAATGGCCCCTGCTGGAGCCTCCCATGGGATGGGGGTGGTGGGATGGATCCTGGGAGGGAATGGAGAAGTTGGCTGGTCAATCAACACTTTACCATGTGGGTGAAAATAAAACCTCCCCCACAGGATGATGTCTGCCATGGAGGTTTCACTGCAGATCATAACCGGGCCACGTGAAATGGAATAAATCAAAATTGTGCAGGCAAGAAGAGGGGAGGAAAGCTCGGGAAGAGCTTCCCTCAGGATTTTTACCTGGGAAAAAATTCTTGGAGGCCAATAAAGAAGAAGGGTAAAACTGCTGGAGAGGAAATGTTGAATATGCAGAGAGGCCCGAGGAGAGGGAGGTTTAGCTGGCGCTGGTGGTGGCAGAGTCCCTTGGAAGACTTTGCACAAGTTCAGCAATGCCCAGGTGGGAAAACAAGGGATGCTCCTCAAGCCCTGATTCACAGTCGGAAAAAAATGGTCAACAGACTCCTGCTACCCCACAGTCTCTTGTCAAAGGTGGAGCTGATGAAGCAAAAAATAGACATTTTGTATGGTGCTGGCAAATTCTCCCCTTTTTTCCTCAGAAAATACTGTACAAGGATGCTCTAGCTCCCCTCTAATGCCGTAAACTCCATGGCATGGTCATAAGGGAAAAGGAAAGTGAAGCTGGAACATGTGGAACAAAAGGAACAGGACTTGCTTGTGGCAATGCTACGATCAACTTCCTGGGAATGCGGGCCCGGCGGGAGCTCCGTGGGATAGTCACTGGGCCCTGGGGTAAGGACAAGTCACGAGGCTGGGCCTCCTCCAAACCGCAGAGCGCCGGATCCAAGTGTCCTCCGCGTTGCCATTGCTGTTTCGAAGCAATAATTCGGGACTCCTGGATGTGGGATTATTGCATTAGGAAACAAAACCTTTAAAGCATTAGAACAGCCCTTTGATGTCCCTGCCAAAAGGATGTGGTTGGTTCACAGGACACGCTGCTGGCTCCGGCTCCTGCTGCAGGCGCCGGCTGTGCCCGCGTGTCGGTGCCGTGGGATCGGGGCGGGAGCTCTCCCGGGGTGCGCATGCATGGACGCCATCCCGTGCCAGGACCACTCCGAGCCGTGCCAGCCCTACTCCATGCCGCTGCGCAGGATCTGGTTGGCCGCGATCAGCATCACGCTGATGATGAAGGCCATGGCGAAGGCGCAGATGAGGCTCTTGCGCACGCACGTCTGGCGGTTCTGCTTCTGGGCGTGCACTGCAGAGACAAGAGGGGCGTCACACAGGGCGGGGGTTCTGTTCCCTCCTGGAGCAGCTCAGGAACCCTCCTGTTCTCACTGTCCCTCTCCCTGCTGGGACATCCCCAAACAACCCACCCAACCCTCCAGGACTTCCAAACCAGCCCATCCCAGGACTTCCAAACCAGCCCATCCCAGTCCTTCCAAACCCTTCAGGAACTCCTTTCAGTCATCATGGCTTTTAATCCCTTTAAGTGCTCACAGGGATGTTTGGGGTTATCTGTGTATTTCTTTTAAGCTCTTTGTGAAGTTGGAATCACAGGATGGGTTGGGTTGGGTTGGGTTGGGTTGGGTTGGGTTGGAAGTGACCTCAAAGCCCATCATTGTCCCAAGGGCAGGGACACCTCCCACTGTCCCAGGCTGCTCCAAGGCCCATCCAGCCTGGCCTTGGACACTTCCAGGGATGCAGGGCCAGTCACAGCTGCTCTAGGCACCCTGTGCCAGGGCACCCTCCTTCCCACTCTCTGACCTAAGCTTCCTCTCTTTCAGTTTGAACTAAGTTGTTTCTAAAGTTCTTTAATAGCAACTATCAACCTTGTGTGAATCCCTCCAAGTCATCCAGGCCAACTGGGAATGAGTGGAAAATCAAGAATCGCTCCCTGATGACACTCAGGCCCCCACTGTGACAATTCCCAGGAGCATCCATGGCACATGAGTCACTTTTCCAAACTTTTTAGGTTTTAGGTTTTCTGTGCTGAAACCAAATCAGATTTATTAAGAACCTTTCCAAGTGAATGCTTACAGAATAATTGTCAAAAGAGATGAGAGCAGCAATTAAAAAGCAGACTGCATTGTCCTGAGGGGCCCAGGACTGACCCCAGGGTTTGAGATGTGACCTCAGCAGTGCCAGCAGAGGGGACAAGCCCTGCTCTGGTTCTGGTGCAGCCCAGGAGTCATTGGCCTTTTTGGCCATATGGGCACACCTGGGCTCATGTCCAGCCACTGGCACCAGCACCCCCAGGGCCTTTTCCAGCTGCCAGCTCCTCTGTCCCAGCCTGGAGTGTTCCATGGGACATTCTGTTCCTGTTGTGCCCCATGGGACAAGTGCAGGACCTGGCATTTGACCTGTCCAGGTCAGTCAGGGACAGCCAAGAAATCATCCCACACACGATGGACAGCTCTGCCTGCCTACTCTGGGCCTTGCTTTGCTCTTGGTGCTTGGTTTGCCCTGGGAAGGGATGTCCCTGTCATCTTCTCCTCATGGATGTTCTTGTGATGACAGGAAACTTTCAGATGGTTGACAACAACCGCAAAACAAACCTAAAATGCAGCCAAGGACAGGCTCCAGGTGCCCACGTTTAGAAAGCTGGAAAGGAGAATATTTTTAGAATATATAGAAAAACTCCTTGCTCTGATCTAGCCTTGAACCTTATGGCACAGAGAGACCTGGAAGCTGGGTTTTGAATGCCAGTTTTCTCCCCCATGACCTCCTCTGGCTGGTGTTCAGCAGTGCCTGTGCCCTAATCCCAGCTCCCAGTGGTCCCAGCTCAGTGCCAGGGGCACAGAGCCCTCCTTAGGGAGGTTTGGAGCCATCCTGCCCCGGGCAGGGAATGTGAGTGAGGCCTTGCTGTGTTCTGGGCAGGGAATGAAATCCCCCCTGCCAGCAGCTCTCCCAAATTCCTCACTCTCTGCTTGCACTGCTCTGCTCCAGGATTTCTTCCCTGGCTTTTATAAACCACACAGGACCAGTGCTGTGGCTCCCTGGCTTTGTGCACGGTGCCCTGGTGCTTTGAAAAGCTCATCTTGCCCAGCTGTAATTATTTTTTAATGTATTTTTCTATTATTTCTGTACCTTGAAAGCACTCCCAGGAAGCAGAGAAATCACTGACACCACCAGCATTACTGTCAGGGTGGGGCTGGTGATGGTAACAGCAGCCCAAGGCTGGCCAAGGGTTTATTGGGATAACCAACTCACCTCTTCAGAGGAAAAGAGTAAAACATGCTTGGTGTTTTTGCAGAAATGTTCCTGAATTGAACAACTTCTTCAGGGTTCTGTTATACAGTAGTGCCTGAAGGCAGCAGGATGCAGGGAAGTCCCATTTACTGATCTTTACCCACTAAAGGGACACCAAACATCCAAATTACCTACAAATAACCCCGGGGGAAAGGGGAATGTCTGCCCAGCCAGACCCTTTTGCTGTTGGTTGGGAATGACTCCAGGAAGGAGGTGGGTATCAGCATTGCCCTGCTCGCTTAAAATCCACAGTGAGACAGAAGAGCTGGAACTCCTGATGTCCTGATTCCTGGAATTCTTCCCTACAACAAGAAGTTCCATTTAACCAGCCCTGATAACTGAGGAGGGCATGCCCTCAGTTCTCCCCTTTCACCATCTCTGTGCTCAGAGATGATGGATTCTCTAAATCCATCATCTCTGAGCACAGAATCTGCTTTTCCTGCTGGTTCTCACAGCTGGCATAGTTCCTGGGCTGGATGCCAACATTTGGGTGCCACTGGGACCCAAAGATGGGACCCAGAGCTTTTGCCACCCACAGGACATGCCAGGGGTTGGATGTGGTTCATTGGACATGGGCAGAGCCTGAGGCTCCTCTGGAGAAATCCTGAACCTTTTTAGGGGGAAGAGCAACCCCGAGGTTTCCAACATCCATCAGACCTCATGAGGCAAAGGCAAATCAAAGCTGGGTCATTCTTCATCTTCTCAACAGTCCCAGGACAGGCTGCAGAGGAGAACTCCCTCGCTGGCACACACCACTGCCCCCAGGACTCCTCAGGAACTGGGGCTAATGGGGCCAGGCTGTCACAATGACCACGGTGGGTTTGGGATGTGCTCCCAGCACTGGGAGCCTTCTCCCCAGCAGGAGAACCGTTCCTCACAAGGACAGCAGCAGAGTATTTATAGAGCCCTGTCCCAGCCCTGCCACAGGTGAGTGATGGTGGCTTGCTCTGGCTGCCTGGAGTTATTTTTGGTTTAACAGGTCAGTTTGTCATCCCCAAACTGAGCTGAGCAGGACGGGGAGCAGGGAGGAGCTGCTGGCTGCATCCCATGGATGTGAGGGTCATGGCTGAGGGTGGGACCCCCCTGCCAGCCCTGTAGCCACTGACACTGCTGTGCCACCAGCTCTGTGTCCTGAGTGCTGGATCAAGGGAACTGCCAGGAAAAGGCTGCTGGGCTGTCAATCTTTGGGAGCTGCAAATTGTCCTTTCCCCGTGTCCCAGGAAATCACACAGCCTTCACTGTCCTGCCCTGAGTGCTGATAAAAACAGAGATAAAGCTGAGGACAGAACACTGCTTCTGCCCTGGGCCTGTCCTTCCCCTGGATGTGACATCCTGCAAAGGACTTCAGTGTTCAGAGGGAGCTGAGGAAATCCTGGACTTGGCCCTGACTGTAATACAAATATTGTATTTGGGGTAAACTGTGTGGTGAGAGGTGCAAGGTCTGCCATCCACATTGATACTGAAGATTTCATGGTCATAAAGACCTTATTATCACATTATTTCCATAATTTTATGACAGAAATGTCATGGCTTTGTACTGATGGTGATATTATCTGTACAACACTCTTCAGCACCTGAGCCAGCTCACCCAGGTGTGGAAAATGGGGATGTCCAGGTGTGGAGAAGGAGAATGTCTCTGCCCACAGGAGGAGAAGGGTTTGGAGCTGGTCTGGGATCCAAGAACACGCCCAGAGGTGACACTGAGTGGAGATCCCCCTTTCACCAAGGTGCTCCTGGAAGTCTCTGCTGTGTCTGCTCCCTTAGGAGATCCCCAAATCTCAGAGGGAACAACTGGGGCTCATCTTGGCTTCATTCCTCCCAGAATTAAAGGCCCTTCAATGGGGTGGATGGTACCTTAAATATAGATGGGAGTTGAAAGAAATATTTGAATTGCTATTTGAGGAGTTGAATGAAGAAAGGGAGTTGTTTTAGGGTGTAATTCATCTCATCCCAAGGCAGCACCTAAATTAAACTCAAGGAACTCTACCCAAAAAGCATCTCCTTCAGTGCACTAATTAGAAGTGAGTGACCCCAGGGACACGCCCCTGGACAGCTGACAGCTGTCCCTTAGTGCCACAATCCATGACATGTAATTCCTGCTATTGAGCCCTGTAGGGATCCTGGTGTTTGAGAGCTGGGAGCTCTGAGGGTCATTTCTGGCCAGCCTGGAGAGCTCCAGGGACACAACCTGTCCTTTCCTGGCAGAAATGCTCCTGTCAGAGCTGTCAGACCAGAACTGTCCCCTTCCACTGGGACCTGGAGCAAAACTTTGCCCTGCTGTTGATAGTTCAGCTGATCTTTTTTCTCTTCTGCATTTGTGTGTGTTCCCAACATCTAAAAAAAGGGTCTGTTTTGCTTCTAGGTTCTGCCTGGCACCAGCAATGCCAAAACATCCCACGAGAAAAGCTGTTCCTGCTGCACTTTTGGAAACTGGAGCTTCCAAAATGAGATGCTGAGCATTTGGGACCCAGGTTTTTTCTGGGATGGTTCAGCCAAGCTCCCAGAACTCTGCAGCAGTGACAGCTGGCTCCTGTCCCCAGGGATCAGCAGGTCAGTGGGCACCAACAGCTCCAGGCAAGGAAGAAACATCTCTTCCTCTGCGCTCTTCTCCAGGAGGAACACAAAAATTGTTGCTTGGCCTAATTCAGAGAGTGCTGCTGCTGCCTCCCTCCTGCAGGGTTTTTGTCATTCAGCTGTGCTCCTCCAGCTTCTCTGCCCTGTTTAGCAGACATGAGGGTGAGAATGGAGCTGCTGCATCCCATTCATTAGCCAGGCCAAGGACTGGGCTATATTTTCATCCTCTGCTCTTTGTCTCTGCCTGGTGCCCTTTCAGAGCTGTTTGACCCCACAGAATGTCACAATTCCTCCCAAAATGGTCTAAAGTGGGATTGCTGGGTGGGACACACAGTGGCTCCAGCAGGGTACAAACTCTGAGCTTCTCTGTTGCATTCCCCTGGGCTCTTCTGCACTTGAGATGATTTCATGGAATCACAGAACAGGCTGGGCTGGAAGGGAACTTAAAAACCATCTCATTCCATGGGCAGGGACACCTTCCACTGTCCCAGGCTGCTCCAAGCCCGTCCAGCCTGGCCTTGGACACTGCCAGGGATCCAGGGGCAGCCACAGGCTGAACAACCAGGACCTGTTTGGTTGCTCTAAGCAGCAACACTTCAGAGCAGTGTGAGTTCCTCTGGCCAAGGAAAGGAAAATGCTTCTTCTGAGGTGGCTTAAAATGGGGAATTTCCTTGCCAGTGTCAGCTGTGTTCAAGTGCAAAATTTATTGTAGATCCCAGTTCTGATCCCAATTCTTGATCCCCTGTGGCTCTGCTGAAGGAAGGAAATGTTTCCCTTTCTCTGTGTGCCTCCAAGCACTGCTCAGCCCTTGGCTTTGCAGAGCTCCTCCCGTGTTCAGAGGAGCTGTCCTGGCTGAGGCAGGTCCTGGCAGCTCAGAGCAAAAGGTCCCAGGGCAGCAGGGCATGGACCTCTGCTCACTGCTGGTGTTACAGTGCAGGAGAGGACTCATCCCAGCTGCTCCCTGGAAGCCTTTTTGGGATCTCAACAGAAAACTGGAGAAGCCCAACACAGCTTGGTAAGGCCTACCAGTCCCAAGAAAGTCTTTCCATGGTGGGATGAGGGAAATCAAGATGTTTCTGTAGGGAAATTCAGCCTGGCTTAGACACTGACCTCAGCACATCCCTCTGCCTGCATCCCACCAGAGAGGGGGGAAACCCCCAGTGCTCCATCCCTGAGCCTGGAAAAGGACCAGCTTTGCTGAGGGATAGAAGTCTGAGGGCAGCTGTTGAGCCCTCTGGGTGTCCTTGCTCCTCACTCCAAAATAACTCCCGGCCAACCCCAGGCACCCCTGTCCTGGATCAGAGCGAGTTTGACAGACACAGGATAACAGAACAGGAACCCAGGGACTGACTCTCTCACCTTCAAACTCTGTTTGGCAGTTGCCAGAGTTCTCGTTCAAGCTCTCCTCCTCGTTGATGATGATGTTCTCGATGTCCTTCATGGTGAGGTGGTCGCGGAAGGCGTGGTACAGGATGTGCTTCAGCTCCTCCAGCGTTATCCTCTGCATGTCAAACTGTGGGAGACAGCCCAGTTACACCCAGGGATGGAGCTCCCACGAAAGCAGCTCTGAGGGCAAGGCCACAATCCCCAGCTTGTGTTTTATCAGCCTCAGTTCAACAGCTCGGTGGGGGTCTGAGCTCTTTGGGGCTGCTTTCACTCTAACAGTCCATGCTGTAAATGGGTGTTGCCCCTGCCAGCTCCCTTGGCACTGCTGGAGCAGCAGAGAAGCCCAGCCCTGTGCCAGGGATGGCCTTCCAGCCTGTAGAGGCAGCAATCCAGTCCATCCCAACAAAGAGAAGCCCTCAGGGGTTCCCCTGGTAGCTCTCACACCTCCCATGAGCCACAACCCTGTTTGTGCTCCCTTTTTTACATTCGTAACCCCCCAGTTGTGCCTGGGGGGAGGAACAAGCAGAGGACACTTCCCTCAGAGCTGACTTCTGTTGTGGATCTAGTAGCAAGTGCTGTTCTTATACCAACCAAGTTAAATCCATAATTCCTGCTGAATGTGAACATTTTGCCCCAGAATGATGTTGGACATGTGCAGTTTGTGGTATTAATGAATCCCTGCTAATGGTGCAGCAGAGAGGAGACACATCCTGGCTGCTGTGCAGTGCCAGGGGAGCAGAGGAGTCTCTCTGGGTATAGGAAAGAAGGATGGGAATGTTCCAAGCCATGATGAGTTTTCCTGAGTGCTGCAGAAGCTCCTCAAAGTGAGGCCTTGCAGCCCCAGCAGGGTTCGTGCACAGCAACCAGGGCCCTCCAGAGCTCCTCCACCCCATCTGAGCCATCCTCAGGACACCCAAAAAGGCCAAACCCCTCTGGCTCAATACCCCAGTGGAAGGAGGGCAATGCCAACTCCCAGCTACCTCTGCCCTGGGAGAGTGGGGATGCAGCAGGAAATTCCCATTCCTTCTCCAGCCTGGGGAGAACAGGACAGACCAGGCAGGACATGACACAGGGAATGGCTTCCCTACTGCCAGAGGTTTTGGGATATTGGGAAGGAATTGTTCCCTGGGAGGGTGGGCAGGCCCTGGCACAGGGTGCCCAGAGCAGCTGTGGCTGCCCCTGGATCCCTGGCAGTGCCCAAGGCCAGGCTGGATGGGACTTGGAGCAGCCTGGGACAGTGGAAGGTGTCCCTGCCCAGGGCAGGGGTGGCACTGGATGGGCTTTGGGGTCCCTCCCAAGCCAAGCCTTTCTGTGATCCTGATTCCCTGAAGGCAGAAAAGCCAAACCCACAAACTACAGCAAAGTCCAGATTTGTATTGGCCTCAAGAATTGTCCCTGAGGCAGGAACTGGAGGAGAAATCCAGCAGAGGTTGAGCATCAGCCCTGACGAGGTGGAATGGGGTCACCACAGGCTGAGGGGCTGCTGCTGCAGGCAGGAAGTGACAATGGGGATGGAATTATGGGGTTGCCATTGCTGGGGCTCAGTTTCAGGTTGGAGTTTCCCAGGATGAAGACCCCAAAGGAATGCAGGATGGGTGTTGGGTGAGAAATCCTTGGATTCACCCCCATGCAATCAGGACTGCAGTAATCCACCCAGAAGGGCTGGGAACCCTGGACAGCTTCATTGCAAGCCTCCAGCAACACCCCCAGCACTGCTGCAAGGCAACCAGAGGAATTATCCCAAATTTCCACATCTTCAGTTGCCAGGAGAAATGCTTTTTGTCATGGAACAGGATGTGAAGAGCACAGCTGCTCCCTTTTCAACATTAAAGACAGCAGAGCAGGGCTGGTGAGATTTGTTCATGCACAACAAAGCAGGATGGAAATTGGTGATTAAATCCCAGGGGGATTTGCAGCCCAGCTTTGAACTGGGCACCAAGGAGCCACTGGTGACAATGGGGTGCTCACTATTTTTAGCTGAATCCCTGAGGAATAAGACAGCAGAAAAACCAAACCCATCAGCCCTGCTGCTCAGAGAAATGCTTTTCATCTGGACAGAGCCAGAACTCTGTCTCTGGTCCCTGCTGTCCACTCCCGTGCACATTTCCTGCAGCAGGGTTAGGATGGTGCAGGAAATGAGTGCAGGGAATTGGATAAATTGGTGTTTCTGTGGGTGCTGGATAAAACCAGAGGGATGTGTGCAAATCTGCCTGCACACACAGGGATAGATGGGAATATTGCAGGGCCCAGATTAAGCAAAGTGCACTCATTTTCCTTCATTAACCCCTTGGAGGATGAATGATTTTGCACCTGTGCAATGAGCAGGGGTCAGGGAAGAAAACCTCAGGCTGAGCAGCTCAGGAGTGATGAGAATCGTCCTGTCCCTCCAGTTCCTGGTGCAGGGTCCCTCTCTGCTTCCCTGTGTCCCCTCCAGACCCTGGGAGGTGCTGGGAGGTCTCCAACCACCTCCTGTTCCCCAGGCTGCACAGCCCCAGCTCCCTCAGCCTCTCAGTCTCTGCTGCTCTCCCTCTCCCAGCATTGCCACTGAAAAGCCTCTGCAGAGTTTTCTGTCCTCCTGCCTCTGCTCCAGGCTGGAGCACAAACACAACTGTGGGGATCAGCTCATCCTCAAATTGTGCCAGCAGTAATGACTTGAGGGGTTTGGGGTCTTCCTGTTCCAGTTAAAATCTGTCTGGAGGGAAGGAATTGTTCTCTTGACAAATGCTCAGCTGCTGCTGCATCACAAATGTTATGCTAATAGAGAGAGAAATTATCTTTTTAACTTGTTTTGTTGTCATTTGTATTCTTTAGGAGGTGGAACAACCTCAGATGGGATTCAAAATCACCCTTGTTGGCTCACAGGAGTTGGACTGGATCTTTAGGGGTCCCTTCCAACTCAGAACTCTCTGTCAATCTCTGAATTTATGCAGTGATTTTTGGTCTCTGCTTTGCTCCTTGCGGGACAGCTACCCTCCCTGAGCTCTGTGTCACCCTGGCAGAGTGTCCAGGGTGGCTCCAGCTCGGGGCAGGCAGGGACAAGCTCTGCTTGGGCTCCCAAGTAATTCCAATTATCCCTGCTCTCCAACCCAGCAATTTCCCTGATTCACTTTTCAATTACTCTGGGTTTTATTGTGGTAATGACAGGAACCAGGGAGCAACTCTTAACTTTTATTGACTCCGTGGGGAGGAAAATGGGGACTGTGGCAAGCTGGAAACTTTCTATAGGATTTATAATTAGGAGAAATCAATGGAGCTGCTTGTGAGGATCAGAATAATTTGCTGTGAGCAGTAAAACAAACTGAGCTGAGGCCCAAACTCCAGGTGCTGCTGTGAGTGGGAGCTGTGGAGAGCACCAGGAACTGGGCACTCAGCTCCTGAGGGACCCCTGAGGCTGGAGGATGCTGTCCCATGAGATATCTGGAAGGGAAAGTGGACCTGGTCCAATCCAGCCTATAGCTTCCTTCTTGACTTAAAATTCCTGCAGGAAATGAATCCCTACCTCAGTTCCTTGAGCCTCGCCAGCTGAAATTTCCCAAATTTGTGTCTGCCTTGCCTGCAGAGCCCCATTCCCAGGGAGTTCTGTGTCCTGCCTGGCCTGGGCTTCTCTGCACGGTACAGGAATGGCCCAAGGGGAAGGGCTTGTTCTTGAAGGGCTTCAATGCTGGAATAGCACTCCTGATCATTTCATATCAGCTCAGCCTTAAAACAAAACAGTGGGAGGCTCCTCTCTGGAGCCCCAGGGTGGCCTTGCTGTCCTGCAGGTGGGTGAGGCCGGGGGGACCCTGCAGTGACAGGAGCAGGGCCACTCTGGGGACCTGCAGGGTCTTTTAAAGCTACTTTGCTCGACAAGAGGTGGGACTGGCTGCTCTGGCAGGGAGGTTTAGCTGGGAGAGCACTTAGACCCATGTGGTTTATGGTTTCCCACATAAATCACCTGGAAGGGTCAGCTGGGGCTGGTGAGGGCTCCAGGTGGAGCAGGATTTTGCCTCATGTTCTGAAAATTAATTCTGCAACCCCAAAAGCTTCAAAAAACAGAGAATCATTTAGGCTGGATGTTGGATTAAGCTTTTTTCGGACTCAGAGATGGGGCTACTGAGAGGTGTTTTAAAAACTTTTGTTCTATTTTTAGTCTCATGAGAAGGATGGGACAATACAGATGTTATAAGCCATGCCATCACAATCAGAAGCCAACTATTTCCTAATTACAATACACTGTAAGTGTTCCTTGGCCTATCAGCTTTAGCCACACCATGCTGTAAATGCCTTAAAGCCAATAACCTAAAATTACCTCTTGTGGGTCCCAGTACAATCATCTTTCATAGTTCTATTTCTCCAAAGTATCCAGTCTTATTTACAAAACCATCCTTTGAAACTTGTTTCTAGTTCCATTTCTCTCTCAGCAATGTCTGTCCTATTGCATGGCATTTCTAAATCAGCATTTCTTATCTCAAAGTTTACATAAAAATGCGCACTGTGTGAACCTTCTATCAAGCTTTAAAAATTTTCTACAAATCCATTTCCCACAGCTGGAAAATATCCTTGAGTCCAGCCATGGGCCTGACCCCAATTCCAGCACTAAACCAGGCTCAAAACACCACATCTGCAGTGACCCCTGCATGGCCCAAAGCCCCTGTCCGTGTTCCACTGATCTCTCATTTGGGGCAGCCCTGGACAATCTCTGAGTGACAAACAAGAGATTGTTTTGCCCTCAGACCTTCTGCATGGCTTAAATAATCCCCGGGGAGCTGCAGAGGGGCTCTGCCCACACTGCCACAATGTGGATGTGACCCAAAAACACCTGAAGTCTGCAGAGCAGCTTTGGGCTTTTTGCACATGTACAAATATATTTGTATGGAGAAATGCATTGTCTTATTATATATTATTGTTGTCGTTGTTGTCATTGTTGTTATTACTACTATTATGGTTACTGTTGTTGTTGTTATTACACAATATTACTATTATTATTATCATCATCATCATCCTTATCCTTATTATTGTCATTATTACTTAGAGGGATGAAGCAGCTCTCCTGTGAGGAAAGGCTGGGAGAGTTGGGATTGTTCAGCCTGGAGAGGAGAATGTTTGGGGTGACCTCATTGTGGCCTTCCAGGACCTGAAGAAGCCAAC